CTAAGCCAGTAAGGAAGAAGAGCCCTTTTCTACTGGTACCTTTACTATCTAGAGGGATTTTTTTGGGTGTGTTGAGACAGAAGTCAGTAGTTGTCTTGATTATGTAGAACCCTTGCAGCCTTCAGTATCTCACAGTGTTACACCCCAGTGCCCTCTGGATTCAACCAGGGAGATGATGAAAGGGCCCCCATACATTCTTAAGTGGGCAGAGATCCAGCTGAATCTTCTTTACACTCCTTTGCACTCGCACAGTTGTGCTGAGGTTTTTCTCTCTGGTGGTCTGTGGGTATGAAGAGGAGAGAGAAATCAGAATTACAAGAACACTGCTGCTGTAGACAAGGCGGTTGTATTTTTCAGGTGATGATTTCTCAATCCAATAACAAGCTGAAGGAGTTCATGACCCTCCATATTGAACTTAAAGTAATTGGTAAAAATCTGTTTGCTTTTTTAAATTTAGAATTTGAGATCACCTTTTGAAATTAAGAGATACCATTAGTAAATACATTTATGATCCAACCTCTTTTGCACATCATATTTTTTTCCTTGTCTTCTTATTCTGAAGGACAGTAGTGATATGAGGGAGTAAAAAATAAAGTTATTTCCAAATAGAGCAATTGTTTTATTTTTACCACATAATTAAATAACTTGATTCCCCAGTTCAAAATCACTTAGCTCTATCAGTTTCCTTTTCTTTTCACCTCTGTAAAAACCAGGAAAAATTTTGTACATTCTACCTATTTTAAAGTGTCCTTCTTTTTTAACTGATTAAAATACAATACAGTCTTTAGTATCCTCCAGGTTTATAAAGTTTCTAATGATATCAAAAAAGTGGGAGCTAATGCTGCAGCCATTCACCTGGCAAATCCGTGAAATTTTAGGGTCACTTGGGGCTTTACTAATTCATTTATGGTTAAAAAACAGTGAGAAAAGTTTTTAAAGTTACTATTTTTTTTAATTCTGCAGATTTAATAATTATTTCATGAATAGCTGATTTAAAACAACAGCAACAAAATAATGGGAAATATGGCCCATTTCACAGGTGGAATAACTCACTTCATGTGGGTGCAAGGGACCTGACATTTCCATCTTTTCACAGGCTTGGAATGGAAACGATGTTTTGCAAATTATATGCATGGACATATTTATTCTAAACCTAAGAATGTACAATCTATATATGCAGTCCTTATTTTCAATTTGATTAGAAACCGTACTTGCCTTAAGGAACGAGTGTTGTTTGTAAGAATTATTCTGTATTAGAATATGCATAACTTTTCAAATCTGCTTTCTCTCTCTGATGTCAGTGTAGCAGAGGCCTTGTTTGTAGCTGCTTAACAGGTGTACAAGTGATTCACACCTGAGCAACTCATTCATAAGGGTAGCATTGTTGAGCCTCTTGGGATCTCTGTGGGAGACGATTTGCTGGCAGGAATGTTTGCAGACTTGGGACAGGAGGCAGCTGGTGGTGCAGCCGTAGCTGACCCTGTGCTGTGTCAGCAGTGGAGCAGATCACCACAGTCACTTCTGGTACCTGCTGGCCTGAGGGGGAGCTGGGAGTTTAGATACGGCTTCATTGACCAAAAGGAAGGGTCTTTCAGGATGAGCTGGATCACTCTTGGCTCCATTGACTGCAGTGGAAAACTAAACCTCAGTGTGAAGGCACACGGTGAGGTGGGTCTGGGTACCTCTGCTCCATGTCTTGTAATAGGCAGAAATTATTTTGAAAGCCACACTCCCATCTCCATTCTGATAGTAAAAGTTAGGAGCATGGATGCTTTCAAATTGCAAACTACTGCTCGTGATTATTAATGCAATATATACAGCATATCTAGACAATACCTGATTTTTGCCTTTGATTATTTAGATAGATATGTACGTTTGTACAATGAAGTATGGCTCTTAAGATAGCTTTAGTGGCTTTTAGAGCGCAGAAATTCATACATGATTAGAAAATGTCTCTGTATGAAAGCATATTCTATATTGCTGGGAGGTATCCATGTTTATACATAGATGTCCTTACCAAAGCATTACCTTGTCCAAAATAGTCATAACTGGTGAACTGGATTTCTTACTGATGGTTATTGATACTTTTAAAATATGTTGCAATAGCATATAAGCACAGGAGATGTTCAGATGTTATCTTGAAATAACTGCAGAAGAAATTTTCTGTAATTGTCAATGTGGCAATAATGCAACAATAAAGCATGAAGTTGTATATTGGGCTCTTTTTTTCTCTGTAAGTGCAATGTAAATCAGCAGGGTGCAGCTTTGTGGGATTTATGGGATTTTATTACAGACTGCTGCATGACTAATCAACATTTTATAGATAGTGAAATTTATTATGAAGTTTTATGACACAGTGGATGAGCTGTTTTGAATAGTCCAGTCTCATGTAAAATAGAAAGTAGATGCTACCAGCTAGAATGGGAGTTGCTGTTTTCCACTATGAAATTGGAGATGCTCACTCAGCCCCTGTGAAGCTAGAGAATCTAACCCTGGTAATAAACCAGGATGGCAAAGGAAATTAAATGTAACATTTTCCATTGCTTTGCAAGTTCTAGTCTTTCAGAAAAAGCAAGTATTGTAATCAGAACAGGTGGCAAGCTTTTCGTAAAGCTGCAGTTAACATCACATAATGCATGCCATAACATAAGTGATTTGCTGAAGAATGTGCAGGAATTGCTGCAGTGTTTCTGGGACCTTTCTGATATTTTGGGCATCCCATGTTTAGTATATGTGTAGTGGTGTATATAATACAGCAAATGTGTGTGATACAATGCAGAGGTGATAGCTACTGTCATTGGACTCGTCTTAAAGTCATCCAGTCCAAGCATGAACCCAGCACTGCCAAGTCCACCACTAAACTATGGCCCTAAGAGCCACATTCATACATCTTTTAAATACTTCCAGGAGTGGTGACTTAACCACTTCCCTGGGCAGCATGTTCTAAAGCCTGACAACCATTTTGGTGAATAAAGTTTTCCTCATACCCAATCTAAACCTCCCCTGGAACAGCTTGAGGCCATCTCCTCTTATGTTGTCACTTGTTACCCTGGAGAAGAGACCAACCTCACCTTGCTACAACCTCCTTACAGATAATTGTAATGAGAAATAGGGTCTTCTCTCAGCCACCTTTTCATGCTACATTATTCAAAAGATACCTTCTTTTATTAAAATTTTGGGAAAATACACATGCATGATGTTGGGCATGCTGTTGATTGCATTGTCTATTGTTACTCCAAATTCCATGGCCTCTTTATCAGCAGTATTGCAAATGTTATTAGTAATTAGAAATTATTTACTTCTATGTCAGCTGTATGATCTACCCTTTTTGTCACCAAATTCCTTGAAACAGAAGTCTTGTACTTTTTTCCATAGTAGTGTGATCATTTTATGCTCCTGGCTGTTTAATGAAAATACTCAGAGCAGTTTTCCATACGAAGGTGAAGGGAATGGATGGACATACGTTTTTATCCCTTTGGAATAACTTTATTCTGAATACTCGCCATCTTCATGGGGGAGGGGGATGTGGGCTTTATAAAGCCACTTCTTGTGTCCCCTTCAGATTTGGGTATATTAAGTTTAAAATGAGATTTAAGTATAGGCTAATGCCTTAAGATGCTAGATTGATACACATAATTGCATTTTAGAAAATGTGGGGTTGTCAGTATGGGTACAGTTGCTTTTACAACAGGGGGATATGTTGCTGGTCGGAGGATGTAATGATACAAAGAATTAAGACAAATCTGTTTTAATTCAAGTTCTTTGCACACAAACCGCTCAAAAGATAAAGACATTTAAATATAACTGGTTACAGGTAACGTTATCTGCTATACGAGGATGCAGAGGGATGCAGATCATAGTGGCTGAGGGGCTCAAGAAGAAACTGAGTCAAGTCTGTAGCAGTAAATCATGGGATTTCTTCAGCAGATGGGTAAAGTAAATCGGCATTGTAGCTGTAACCTTTGGTAAGTGCTGTGCATGATTGTATTATATAAAATTAGTAAAGGTTATTTCTTAGGAAGGTGGAGGTTTGTATTTTGCTTGTCCCTGTGTTTTTGGATCTCCTTCCAGAATGTGCATTTATTGATTTTCTTCATCTCCCATCAGAGAAAAGACTGCAGCTAGGTATACTATTTCTTGAATCATAAAATGGAAGCACTGGTATTCAGATACGAGGCCTGAGAGGAGAGGTGGAGTGCATTGTATTTGACAAAGCACTCTGTGAACAAAGAAGTAATTTCTATTGCAATGTATTGTAATTTCAATTGCAATTTTCCTTCCCTTCAGAATGCTGATCAGAGGTGAGAAAAAGAATATGATACCTTCTTCTGGGAATGTAATTTATTACTATTTGGAGCTGACAGGCATGCATGGTTGCTGATGATTTTTTGCAAAACACAGAATGCTGTCAGCCAAAATTGAAATGAAGGATACTAAAGCCATGGCAAGCATAGATCTTGAAAGTGACCTTGGAAGAAGCCCTTGTAATATAATCTCTGCTGTCCAGCTAACATTGAAGGTATTTTTGAAAACGTGAGTATCTGGCATTCTATAGGTCACTCATAGCTTTAGAAAAAGAAAAGCATTAGTAATCCACAGTGATTTTAAGGATTATGAAAATTGGTTAGCTGCTAATGACTCTGCAGTTTGCATCAGCATCAGGAAGGGAACATGTTGTGTTACCTTCAGTGTAGTCTCACATTGTCCTGACTAAAGCTGGTTCAGCATAATAGTTTTTATCCTCCTTTCTGGCAGAAGCAAGTGGCAGGTTTTGAAGGCATGTAAAATGAGTTCTTAAGAGCCATGTGTGTAGCTGTCTCAGGTGTCAGTGGGTATCTGATGCCATTTAAGATGGATAGTGACATCACTTTGTTACACACAGAGGAAGGAGTGAACTGGAGAGCGCAGCAATGAAATCACAGTTTCCAGAATCAGAATGACAGAATACTCTGAGTTGGAAGTGACTCACAAGGATCCAACAAGTCCAACTCTCAAATGAATGGCCCATGTGGGGATTGGACCCACAACCCTGGGGTGATTAGCACCATGCTCTCACCAACTGAGTTAATCTCAGGGTCACAATGGCTTCTCTCCTCTCTTCTTAGAGGTGGCTTTTGAAATATAGAAGAGTTAGTTAAAATGAAAAGTAAAAGTTAGCCACTTAGTTCTGTATGCTGATAGCAGCTGAAATGACAAATACCTTGTCATGTTTCAAATGTGACTGAAACCACCTGTTCAATGCCTTTTGGAGTAAAATTGCACCAAGTGTGCCAGTGTTTGGGTCTGAAGGAAGAGAGGCATCACCTTTTTCCTTGTTTTATGCTTACTTGTGAAACTAATGTATTTAACTGAAAACTTCGCTTGGTATTTTAAAAAAATGCCTTGTTTCTAAGATGAAATGTGCACCTCATCTTAAACTGTATTGAATTTTTCAAATGATATCTCTGAGGAAGATAAAGGTCTTCTGGCTTTGTCTCCTGAAGACCAGCAGACTGAGCACGTGCCAGTGGAATGTTGCACACTTCATTTTACTTTCTGGTGTATTTAAATCAGCAGTGAACAGGAGCTGTGATTAGAGACATAAAGCCTTAAATATTAAAAGTAGAACAGTAAATGGATCAGCACAGAAGTGGATTCAGTTGTGCTCTGTAAAGCTGTTGTTAGAAGATGATAAAGAGAAAAGAAGCAGAGCTGTCATATTGTTTCAGAACTGTATACTGGCCATTTCTTATGCTGCTCAGTGACCTCAATTTTCCCTGCCTAATTACATACTGAGAGGACAATTCTTTGATTCATAAATCTATGTGTCCTTGAATCTTTTTGCATGGAAGAGGCCTTTGGATGAAGGAAATCTGCAACTGCAAATACATTTTAATAAATTCTGGTTCTTCTAACCTAAAAGGTTAAGCATAAAGAAATATGTATTATCTCTCTTCACTGCAAAAGGCAGCATGTATGTGCATATAGGATGCAGAACTAAGACATACTCTAGTTGAACTTAGACCTAATTAATATTCATGTGTATGTGTGTGTGTGTGTGTGTCCCTGCAATGAGAGAACAGTCAGTTTTAAAAACTAGAATGTAAGATTTTATTCATCCCAGAGATGTTAAGCAATGGGAGATCAGATTCTTTGGAATACACAGTTTGGGTGAAAATCTTTAACATCCTTTTTGCAGGTAGCTAGTGTTACATCTGAGTTGCTAGTAAAAAAGACCCACATCAGAAGCTAATTCCTTACCTAATTCCTTCCCTCTGGACAAGAGATAATGAATAGCAAATGCAAGAATTCTCTTTTTAGGGCCTGATTTATTACCCAGAACATAATAAACATTAGCCTGCTGATGATGTGACAGTTGTGACAGCTGGAGGGGTTTGGAATGAAAGGCTGAAGCCTTAAATAAGCCTGTCAACTGAGCTTGTTATGAGGATCTTGGTTGAACACTCAGACTTTGCATTTTGTGGCCCCAAAGAGCTCCTACAACTTCCATACTGAAAACTTCATAGTGTTAGAACTGTGCTTTGCATGCCGATGGCTGGCTCACCAGCAGCCAGTAGTGCCTAAGGTAAATATTTAATGAAAGTATAGAGCTTGATCCGACCATTTATCATGACCCATAATATTCTTCTCCCCTAGATGCATATGTTTAGTTTGTTTGTGCACCTGGTTTTGTTCCTGGCTGTCATGGTGTGCCATGTGTGTCACTTCTGATGGCTGGTCCTTCACAATAGAAGCAACTTTGTTAGTGGGTGCAGGATAAAAGACAGAATCTTCAAAGGCAGACTCTATACATTAAAAAGTATGGGAAATGTTGCCACTGTCATCTAAGCAGATCTCCCCTGGGAGATTTAGGATTCCTACAAGCATAAGTTCCTTCAAGGCAGGTTATTTACCCATCCCATGCAGGCCACCAGTCTTTTAGAGGATGTCTACTTTGTGTTTATAGTCCTGTTAACTTCAGTGATACTCTCCAAGGAATTAAGGTAAATTCAGATTTATTTTGCAGGACTGGAGGGTCAAACTAGGTATTTTACATGAGGTAGAGACCTCGAAATGTCCCTAGTTTCAAACACTGTAAGGTCTATCATCCTGAAAAGTGGTGAAGACTTGTGGGCAGATCCTTCCCTTTACGTGAGTTGTGTTTGTGGAGTTCTGCAGAGGAATGCTGGTATTACAGGGCTGTGTCCCATCTTCAGTTCTGCAGCTTGGTCACTGCTCAGCCACTTTTTAAACATTGATTTCTGGCTTTTTCCTGACTCACAAATGTGTTATAAAGCTCTGGCTTCAGGGCATGAAATATAATTTATCATGCAAAATACAACCCCAGACTGTTGTTGCTTAGGCCCCATGATTTTAAAAATAGGGGACTGGAAATCAACAGAACTCCTTGGAAGAAGGAGCACCTGTTTGTGCAGTGCTCCTTGCTGGAACAGCAAGTTTAGAAGAAAAGATTATATGAGTGAGAATATGAGTTATTTTGAAAACAGTTAAACAAAATGCTTCAGGGTTAATTAGCTCATGAAATAGAAAGGGGGGGGAATCACTCTTGTAACACACAGGTGTACATGTACATCTAAACATATACATGTTGTATAATTCAGTATACCTGATTTTAATAACTAAGGGGAAAAGACCCTAATTTTCATTTACTAGTAAACAAGTATACAGTCTGTTTCAGCAGAAACAATCATAAGTCCAACCACAGCCCCTTTTTGAGGAATGATATAAACATTATATATAAATGTATATTTAAAAAATTATATCCTTTGTTAATTTACAAAGTCAGTCCCAGGGTTACTGCTCTGCAGTTTCTCTTTTACTTATTTGTTGCTTTGCCTATAATCAAGCAAGATTGCAAAACAATTGGCAAGATGTCAGCTCAGCCTGCAGGTGCTATGGAAATGCTTTCAATAGTCAGAATCAAGCAGGAGCTTCACTCTTGATTTACTGTACTTTATGTTCTGAAAATACAAATATTTCTGTGGCTGAGATTATAGAGTGAAAAGATTAAAGGACAGTACTTGAAGAAGAAGAGCTGTACCAATTACCTGGAGAAACAATTCTAAATAGCATTAGTGACCTGGTACTAGTACTGTGAAAGGTGGCTGAGTAAAGATGGCACCTTCATACTCATTTTGAGCACTGCATTGTGATAGCTTAGCATTTGTACTCAAGGTAAAATGCTAGAGCCAATGTAAATGGAGAGCATCACTTCGATAGCATTATAGTTCTAATAGGTAATACAAGCTACAAGGAATGAATATGAGCCCTGTATGTTTTTTTCAGCCATATTTGCTGGCATTAATAACCACAGAGGTGAAGATTTTTTGCCTTTCATCAGCTGTGCAGCAGAAGCTCTTCAAGCATAAAAGCAGAGGTGCACTTGTTTTTATTCTGCAAACTTAACAGAAATGCTTCTTAAAGCAAAATCTTCAATCCCTGTGTGCCTGGATTCCTCACTGAGAGGCAGGGGTGTCTAATACGTAGGCTGTGTCATCTGCTGGCATCTCACTCCCCAGCACTGCCACTCTCAAGGACAGGCTGTCATGACACTTCGTGGCCCAGCTCCTGCCTGTGCCTTGCAAAGCCACAGATTAACTTTGATGCAGCCACTGGTTCTGTTTTGTGATAGGCAAGACTGCTTCCAGGTGGGAACTTATTCAGGTGTGGGGAGGTGACTAGAAGCAGTGGCTGGGAGAGCTTCCAGGGCAGAGAACTCAAGCTGAATCTTTTCACTCCCTAAAAGTGCCAGTGAATGCCGAGCATCAGTTAGATCCTGTAGATTCCCTGTGGGATGGTTTAGCTGATAAACAGAATTTGGGGAAGATATTAATGGAAAACAATGGTGTGAGGCTACAGCAACTGAGCTGTTCTAACCTTGATATTTTGAGAGGAAAATGCTATACAGTCTTTTTAGAAATGCACCTTGGAAATGTTGATGCCTTGGAGCATCGACAAGGCCTAAAAGGTGTTACAAAATATTAGAAAGTGTTTTGAAGTGTTCTGAAGATCGTTTTTTATTAGAGGTGAGTCTCCTGGTGTTGTTCTGTCCCAGTCAGTTCTCTGGATGATGCAGTGGACAGCCTTTGGTCTTAGCCAGAGGCCAGCATGGAAGACTGGAGTGTGGTCTCTGTACCCTTCCTTGCTGAGGGTTTTTGAGGTTTATATTCAAGTGTTATTGATGTAGGAGTTTGGAGGGCTCCTGCTAGGGCCACTTCTCAGGACACTGCCTTGCATGACCTTGGGGGGGCAGGCACCTCAGAGAGTCCCAGCACATGAGGCATTTCTGGTGACCAGGGGCATCTAGCCACCAGGAGAGTCTGTGAGAGCTTCTTGGAAGAAGAGCTGATGGAAGAGAGGGCAAAAAGACTGTTTTGTCCAGGACCACTGGACATGTTTGGAGTTTGCAGCAGGCATAAAGTGTGTGAGGTTACCACACCACAAGTGGCTGCATCTGCTGGTGGTGCTTAACCTAAGAAAAGCACACTCTGAGCCCCCAATAAGCAGTGTTTACTGCAGTGCCTAGAGCGTGGTGTTTATAATACGGACTCAGATTTTAAGGGATTTGGATTTCTAGCCCATTTCAGTGAAAGCTTTTGTAATCTTTCATGGAAATTGATTGCTTACCAGTAAAATCCATGTGGTTTATTGTTACAATTTAATAGGGATTGCCTGTGAAAACAGATGTGAAAAAGCCCTTACATAGCTACATGTCCTGCCAGCATCCCAGCATTCACTGCCTGACTCGGTAGATATTTTCTCAAAGGAAAGATGTGGATAAAATTGAAATTAGCAGAAACATTTTGCAAGGAAACCTAGGAAAGGTGTGAGTGGCTCCCAAAGTATTTCACAAGTGTAGACCTTGCTGAAGGTGCAGATCTTGCTGAAGAGGTCTGGGTACTCCAAGAACTCCCACTTCAACTCCTTCCCACCACTATGGTTTTCTTGACACTATTCTGAAAATGTCAACAGTGTAGCCTTCTCTGGCTTGAAGGAGAGACCTTCAGGCCACAAGGATTTCTTCACTCTTCCGTGGGTCTAGAAGTCCAAAGGCTGTTTTGGGTGAGTGTAAACCCAC